CCACTTCTCATGCCATGTTGGAAGAGACATTAGAGAAACCTCCTCTTAACTTTGTCCAAAATAAACTACTCAAACCTCTTTTACCTTAACTCCATCATTTTTTTGGTTAACAAATCATACCTCGTTAAGATCAATGGTGGAGGATTACATTCTTTTTTGTATTTTATGTGTTTTTAATCTTTTTTCCATATGGATCTCTCAAGATGTTTTTGAATAATATTTATAGTTTGTAATTGCCCATTAACTATAATATTTCAACTTCCTCCTCACACTTTTTTGACACATAATTTACATTTATCCAACTTTAGTCTATTTTAAGATTTACAAGATAAAAATTCAATAAAACTATTAATATTATATTAAATCTCATATAAGAAACTATGATCCATTGATAAACCAAGAATTGAAAGATAAATAGTCAATTAAATGATATAAGAAACTATGATCCATTGATAAACCAAGAATTGAAAGATAAATAGTCAATTAAATGATATGGATTTTTGTCAAAAATTTGCTTCGTGCCTCCTAAGTTTATTTTCTTTAGTATAAACCAAATTTAACAACAAAACATAACTTGCCAAACACTTGTACAATCAAAATATACAATCATACAACTTTAATTAACCTTAATAAACGTATTTTCCCAAAACTTAACTTTCCTAATTATATGTGCAACCCAAACTCGATTGCCGTTTCAATACTTGGATAGTACCCCACATAATCAAAATAACTTAAGTTATTCACATGTTCTCCCTTAACTTAGAAATTTCCCAAAAATTCTCTTAAAAATTATAAATAATTTACCCATTTTTTATTTTCTGGATTGTTGAACTCTTTATACTTTCAACTCTTTTTTTACTACTTTCATATCTAAATCCCCTTTTAGTATCTAATTCTTAAAAGAAACCTAAAATTTTATATTTTAGTAAGATAGAAGTTTTATGAAAATAAAATAATTCCACTCTATATTGATAAAATATTTAAAACCAATTAAACATATTTTATCTTATAAAAATTCTAATAGTTATATAATTTAAGATTCTATTAAAAAACTATTTATCTTAATTTAAATATTTATAATATTTTCAATTTTACTTTTTTCATTTTTAATTCACAATATAATATAATGTAATATTAGTTTAATTAGGTGAAGAATAACAATATAGTCTTAAATTTTTAAAAATTATAATTGAATAAAAAATATTTTACAATTTTCACAGTTGATAAAATGTTTTAGTATTATAGAAAAATTAAAAATTGTAGTAATTATCAAATATATGAAGTAATAGGTATAAAAAAGTTTCATTATTAATAATTCTTTTAAAAATATTAATAATTTAAATTAATTATTATAAACTTAAAATAATTTATTTTTACAATTATATTAAAATAAACATTTCTCTCTAGCACTCTAATTTAATATATATATATATATATATATATATATATATATATATATATATATATATATATATATATATATATATATTAACCGCAAACATGAAAATAAAACGTGCATTCCAAGTGTGAATAGATAACTAATTTAAATTATTTATTATAAACTTAAAATAATTTATTTTTACAATTATATTAAAATAAACATTTCTCTTTAACACTCTAATTTACAAATATATATATATATATATATATATATATATATATATATATATATATATATATATATATATATATATATATATATATTACCCAAACATGACAATAAACGTGCATTCCAAGTCTATTTTTTTTTATTTAGTGTGATTTAAGATTTTTTTTCAAAAAATAAAAAATATAGTATTTTTTATTTTCACAAATATTTCATATTTTAAATTTTATCCTTATTTATTCTTAAATTATGATAAAAGGAAATTAATGTTGTATTAATTTTTAAAATTAGTTATTAAATATAAATAAATAATTAAAATCTAAGGTTAAAAAGAAAAAATAAATATATAAAGAAAAGGTATCAAAGTTTTTAATTAATAATTTATTTTCTCCATATTTAAGTAACACTTGAGATAAAATGGAACGAAAATTATAATTTTAAGATGTAATAAATATTTTGCTTTTTACTTTTTCAAAATTTATTCTTTTCTCTCACGATAAAAGTAAAAAAAATAATTATTTTCATATATAATTAATTATGTTATTGATTATTAAAAAACACAATTTACTATCTTATAGTTATTTAGAGTAAAAAATATTTTTTAAATGATAAAGTTAATATGTCTATATAGTTATTTTTTAAAATATTATTTTAATTTTTTCATCATTTACATATATCTATATATCTATATATATATATATATATATATATATATTTCTAAATTAATTACATATTATATTTTTATTTTTTTAAATATATAAATCATAATAATTATTTTTAAAAAATTAAAATATTTTGTTTATGTAATGATGCAAAAAATGATTATGTTTTTATATATAATTATATATAATAAATACAAAAATATATTAAAATAATAAATAAAATTATTAAAAATATTTTATTTCTAATTTTCATTTTTTTATCTCTCACATAAACTCTCCAGTTAATCAAAGTATTATGATTTGATTTTGAATAAATAAACATGAACATATTTGATAGATACTAAATTATGTGGAAGTATGAGGCATGGAGTTAATTTTACGAAGCAGATGGTGGTGGGTACAATTGTCATAATGAATATGGTCATTTTAAGCCCTATTCCCACAGGGCACTTTTTCAACCATTTTCTACCGAGAACTGAGAAAAGTCACTGTTTCTTGTCTTGTCATTTAGCACTTAGCACGGTGTGTGTGAGAGAGAGAGAACGCGCCAGCAATACAACCATTCATAAAGAACCATTTGGTTAGGGTTTTTAGGGTTTTCGGGACATGGGCTCTTAGTAAACATCAATGCAAAAAGGAAAGTTGCGATTTTGATTCCATTATCCTTCGTTATTTTATGCTTATACCCATCTTATTTTGCATTTTTTAAATCTATTATTATTATTATTATTATTATTATTATTATTATTATTATTATAGTTATTATTATTGGTAGTAGTATAATCGTTTCATTAGTTTGAAGTAAAAAAAAAATTATATTTAAGAATATGTTAGTTCCTAACTTTTAAAATAAATAAAAAATGTTAATCTATCTCGAACAAGTAAAGTATTCTCGATAACTAGAAATAAAAATAACATTTTGATTGCTTTTAATTTAATTGTGGCTAATTTCTACCATATTACAGAAGACGGGTGTTTGATTCAACACAAAACTGCATGACTTTAATTATTTATATGCACATATAAATTATATAATAATATTATGGATACGGTAATCTTTATTACAAATCTTGACTCTTATGAGATTTTTCTTTTAAATTATATTGTTGTTATATCCAAAAGAAGTTGAGAATTTAATTATGATATTTAAGTTTAATTTTACTTATTTTATCGAAAATTCAATTCTACTTGTGTGAATGTGATGTTGGTTAAATTTTTCTAATTATAAGAAATTATTCATGAAAATTTTTAAGAGAAACTTATAGATATTAAAAATAAAATTATACAGGATATACCAACTTAAACAAATTTTGCACTATTAATTTTCTAATAATATTTATGATAAGTTTATTTATTTACACCTATTATCTTAAAAAAATAGATCTAACATAATTTTTTTTCTCTAACTAGTAAAACGTTAATATTCATTAGTTTTATAATAATCACTTTAACAATCATACTTAACCTTTTTAATTATTTAAAATATTTTATAAAAATTACATGAAAATTAATTTCTTTTTTAATGTATTCATTATTTTATAATTTATTAAATTGAATAATTACTAATTATTAATTTTCAAAATATCGACTACCAAAATATATTCAACTAATTAATACTTGACAATTAAAAGATGAATATACAAAATTATTTATATTCCCAATTTCGTATTTCTAATTTATTGTCATTAAATATTTTTATTCACACAATTATGTTAGTTGTCTCTTTACATAATTCTTTGGAATGTAATTAATATTTTTCTTACTCATGATAGATATTTAATAAAAAATAAAGAATAATTCTCATATTTTTTTAGTATAATATTGATTACTTTTTCTACTATTACTCATAATACATATAATTTAGTCTTTATGTCTCTCGTTTATAAAAATAAAATAATTATTTTCAATATTAATAAAATCTATAAATTTTTATTTTGAAATTTATAAATTATTTTCGTTAATATTTATTGTTTCAAAATTTTCAGTTATTATTTTTAGTTTTAAATATTTATTTTAAAATAAATAAATAACACTTGTTTTATAAATCTCAAAACAATTTTTTTTTAGTAAAAACACAATAACAATAGTATTCGTGGATAAGAATAACATTAAATATATAAATAATGTAATACTAACAGTAAAAATATAATTTTAGTCTAATATAAATAGTATAAATAGAAAAATAGAATAACTAAAATGAAAATCCACTTATTTCATAATACTAAAATAATTTAATTACGTGACTACTTAAATGAAACAGAAGAAATAACAAACAGTAAATTAACCAAGAAACTGGTAGAAGAAATGAAAAAAGCAGAGTAATATATATCCCAGGTAAAAAATGATTTGATGTGAAAATAAAATAATGATTTTTGCAACATTTTGATGAGTTATTTCATGAAGCTTGTCCAGCAATTAAGTGTAGTGTACGAATGAATTGTCTTTAATTGTGGCTACCCTCCCCACCATTCCTCACCTTACCACATCCTTTCTTTCCTCCTTGCCTATTCTTTCTTGGTAACAGTAATATTTGTATCTTCAGCTGCCAGGCGCCGTTTCCTTTTACTCTCTCTTTCTCTCTCTTCCTTTTTCAAAATCCAGTTTTTACTCACTCTGATCATGCCTCTACTGCCTCAGTCTTCTCCATAACCATCAAACACACCCAATTCCCTCTCCTTCCTCTCCATCTGACACCTCACACACCCCAAATTCAAATTTCACTGCCAAAAACAATGGTGGGTACATACATATTACACACTTATACACATATTTGTGCTTAAATTTATTGAGCTTTCACACTGCTCACTGCTTTCTTCTTTCGCTATTCCATTTTTATGCCTCTTTTCAACTTAATTCGCTTCACTCTCCTGACGCAAACTCACATCAAAATTCAAATTGCAAAGGGAAAACAATAATCATGGTGGATGTCCTTTCTTCCTCTTAGGCTTCCCCCAACTTGCTTCCTTGCTTGTCACTTCGTTCTCTTTGATGTTCCGTTTTCTGCCTTTTTCCTCAATTTGTTTTAATTCAATTCATACATTCACCTGTGCAGTTCGTTTCTTCCTCATCTCATGTTCCCCGTTGGCTTCAACTCCTCCTCACGGAGAAGTTCTACAACGCTTGCATAATTCACGAAGAGGCAAAGAAGAACGAGAAGAACGTCTATTGCTTGGATTGTTGCATCAGTCTCTGCCCTCACTGTTTGTCCCCTCACCGCTCTCATAGACTCTTGCAGGTTCTGTTCACTACGTTTCACTAATGAGCCAAACTAATCTGAAGAAAAAAAAAAAATCTTCCTGTCAATTCTTTTAACTTTTGCTTGCACCCTTTTACAGATTAGAAGATATGTGTATCATGATGTTATAAGGTTGGATGACGCTGCAAAATTAATTGACTGCACTTCGGTTCAAGTAAGTTTTTTTCTTTCTTTCCCTCTAATTTTCGAATACAGGTTCAGTTTATTCAGCATAATTGAGCGAAGCTATCAAACTTCATTACAACACGCTTAAAAAAAAAAAAAGTCTACCTGTGTCTAATTTCCTTCTTGCACCTTCAACCTAAACTTGGTGTTCTTGTAATGACTTTTCAATTAAGCTGAGAAGAGCAATTTGCCAAGATAGAATTTCAGTGTTTTTTTTTTCTTCCTTCCTTCCATGTCCATTTTACATGGAAGTTGCACAAATGGGTCGTGCGTTTTGTGAAATGTTTTGAGCTAATTCACTCACCCACATGGTTTACTTTCTCTCTCTACAGTCCTACACAACTAACAGTGCAAAAGTGGTATTTTTAAACCAAAGGCCACAGACAAGGAACTTCAGAGGCTCCGGCAATTTCTGCAGCACCTGTGACAGAAGTCTGCAAGACCCATACCACTTCTGCTCCCTTTCTTGCAAGGTCCCCTTTTACCACTCCCAATTTCGCCTTCTCACCAACGTTATCAAGAACATTATTCCATAATATATAATATACTCCCACCTTTTATTTTTGCATATTTTTTGTTCTCTTGTGGGTCTATTCTCATTAATGTGTTTTCTTTTTCCACAGATCAATTATCTCATCAGAACAACGGGTTCTCTCTGCGGTTACCTCTTCGAGTGCAACTACTTGCCGTTACCAGAATCTGGTCTCGACGATGGTCAGATGACCCCTGACTCGGTTCTCGAACCTGCCGGTTCGGCCCGAACCTCGTCCGGTTCTGGAGGGTATGGCGGGGTGGATTGCAGGACCACCCTGGCTTGCACTGCCACCACTGAGATTGTAAGGAAGAAGAGAACCGGCGGCTCTGGTATCCGGCCACCGTGCCGGCCTGCGTGCTCGCCAGTGTCGGAAATCTCGGCGGGTCTAATGAACCGGAGGAAAGGGAACCCGCAGAGGGCCCCACTGTATTGAAGAACATGCGAGAGGGTGAGGAGGTTGTTTGAAATGAAAACCATCTCATGAAAAAGAAAAAACAAAACTTTTGGTATTTTGCTATTATCATTATCAATTATTCTAAAATATTACTCTTATGGGGTTTAAATCTGGGGTTGGAATTCATTACACTTTACAGGGAAGAAAAACCTCCTAGTTTTGCAGATTATCACCCTCTGCTTTGATGCTGCTATATCTGTATCTATGTATCCGGTTTGTTAGAACACAGTGTAATGATTTCTTGAGGTTTATCAGTGTTACTGTTATAGTACTATATATTCTGATTTGCCTCTTGGTAATGTGATGGTGCCTTGTGCTGAATAATTCTTAGTTTTTATATGCACACGGTTTGACCTGAATTTAACCTTATTAGAGATTATGTTCTGGGTTAGTGTGGAACACTGGTGCAAGCTATTTGCACAAGTGCATTAGGTGTTTTGTGTGAGCTTTCTCTGGGCTATAATGTTGGAGGGGAAGAAGAAATTATGTGATGAATTGTGTGAGTTGGATGGATTGACTTGGGTGATGCCATTAATGTCATATTTTGTTAGATTAGGAGAAGTTGGAATGCGAAACCTTGGAATAGAATGGTTAGGAGGTGCAGATAGAGGTAATTTTTTGGTTTACTTGAAGGAGGAAAAAGCAGAAAGCAGGGTTTTTAAGAGGAAGTAGCTATGTGTTGAGTGTGTCCCACACTAATCTTATGGTAATCCCAGAATAGCAAGGATTGGGTTTGTACTGCACGTTGATTTGTCTTATTTTTTTCCTTCTCGTTTCTGCTTCCTGGTGCAGCGTCGTGACAAAATTCAAAGACAGTGGTCTTTAATTTATTGCTATTTGTCCCTATCCCATTGCGCTGCATTTGAGGTGTCCTATGGGAAACTTGCAACTTCTTTATTCAACTCCCAACCATTCGAATCATATATATTTAATGGTGGATTTTTTTGACAAGTTTACGTCACCATAAATATCCTCAGTTTGAGGAAAGTAATGTTTTATTAAATTATTCTCTTTCTATTTTCTATTTTATTTCACAAATAAATTTTAGCATTAGTCATCAAAATATTGAGCAGTGTTTTTTTTTTAATTTGTGTATATATTATATTTACTTTTAATTTATGTAGGACTATTACGGAATTTTTGTAAATAGTAAATATTGTTGATATGCTCATCATTCAAATTGGAGAGATTATTGCATAACTACTGATGATTAAAGTACCCTTTTTAGGATTACAAATTTATATGTTTTGGAGAGATGTAGTCATCAAATAAATGCATTTTAAATGTTGTACTAAAAATCACACTCCTCGTGAAATGTATTAATCTCTTCAATTCCTTTTAAAATGACATTTATAATCCATTTATATTATAAAATCATTAATCTTTATTTTTTTGAAATAATTTTTATTGTTAACATAATGATTCATCTTCTTCTTTTTGTTATTAATAAAATAATATTCAGAATTTTTATTTTATTTAATTTTAAATTGTATAAAAATATAATAAGTTAATAAATTTATATATCATTCTTTTATAATTTTAGGAGACGATTTAATTGGTTTATATATTTGTTTTACTTTTACAAAATACTTTTTTTTTCAATTTTTATATTTTAAATTTTCATAGTTTTATTTTATTTAAAGTTTAAGTCGTGAAAGTAAGTACAATTATTAATAAGTAAGTACAATTATCAATGCTTTGATTGTTTGTTTTACTATATTAGATAATAAGATACAAGTTAACTACAATTACGGTACAAAGGGTAATTACTCTTCTCTTCTATCTTTTTTTAAAATAAATAATATTTTGAAATTCATATTTACAAAAAATTGGTGAGTATATAGACCGTTATTGCAATGAGATATTTTTCTTTAGGGGGCTGTTAAATCAAGGGTTTCAGGGTTGTTGTTTTTTTAAACGAAATTATACCATGTGACTAAAGAAAAACAAAAAAAAAAGTGATGAGAAGGTGTTTAAACTCAATTAAAGCAATGACAATAAAAGATTTTGTGGATAATAGAAGAATTAATTGATAATGATTGATAAGTGTAATTTGCTTAAACCATGTGAGTGTGGCTTTAATTTGTTTTTCCAATGGTTCCAATCCAAAGTAATAGAATATGGCAGCAGATGGGAGAAAATCTGGAAAATGTCTTAATTACTGGTTGGCAAGTGGAGTCCATTTGACCCACCATACCTGAGCAAAGGCCACAGCTACTTGTCATTTTCAAGTTCTGGGTAAAAGGGTGACTCTTCATGTATCATATCCCATTGGATATCATATTGACCTAAAAGCATATAATGACATAACATCTAAGAACCCTTTATTTAACGTATTGCATTTGAAGCAACAACTTGGGTTCAATGCCCCAAAAGCCCTTCCTAGTTATCACATGACTGTAAAGAATAAAATAATATCAGATTTTGGTTTTGGATTAATTTTCCTCTTGTCCTATGCTTCAAGGCTTTATATGAGTTCATTCAGTTTTGTCTCATAGTTTCTAATTTTGTCTCTTTCAGCTGAAACTAAGCCATGATATCCACCATGTATAACCTTTTTAGTTGCCATTGAGCCCTAGTCTTGGGAATATTCAACGATCTTAGCTAGTAATGAATTCATATTTTTTTTTGGTGTGTGTGTAATTTGTATTTTGTTTCTCTAAAATCGGTGAAGTACTTTTTTGAAGGACAAATTATTATAGGTGGACATTTGTTTGCGAGTATGAACAAGAAAGTTAGGTTTAAATAATAATAAAAAAGTTCGTTATGCTTTTCACCCTTTGAAATTTGACTAGTACAAGTTACTTTTCATAAGGTATTACTTAATACATTAATATTTTATTTTTATTTCTTATAGATTGCTTTCAGTCGTTATATTAATTACTTGGGCGTAAATTTCTATAATTTTTAGTTTTATACATAGAGTATAGAGTTTTATTTCTAGGAAGAAGGGTTGATTAATATATTTGTTTTTTATTAGGACAAAAATTTAATTAATTGGGTATGTTAAGTATACAAGGAAAAAGAAATATAAAGTATCACACTAGGAATTTATTTTTTGATAGATTTTTATTTTTTTATGTTTTATTATTATAAATCTTTGGTAAATATGTTATTTATATTTCTTAATTTGTGAAATATGATGTACTAAGTGTAAGATCTTTTAAGGGAGATTCACTAGGAGAGAGACAACACCAATCAAATATGAACTCAACTCATATAATATATTGATATCACTTTTAACCCCAAACCTTAATATATTAGGTTATGAGTCATTCTTTCTTATATCCCGACGGATCTTCGTGGGAGTTGAGGGGGGTCGTGACCCTCCAAAGTTTTGTAACTCCCGTGTAATTTATGATTTTGGTCCCCCCAAACTTAATGAACATTTAATATATTTACTTGTATATTTACAATTTTATTCTTTCAGCCTCTCTTCAGTTTTGTAACTTTCATATCATTTATGATTTTGTCTCCTTCAAACTTAATAATCATTTAATATATTTAAGTATATATCTACAATTTTATCCTTTCACCCTTTCATCTTCTTTCTTCCTTTTATATTTATTTATTATTTATTAATAATATATTATTTGGCTCCTCCAAGATCAATGGTCAAGATCCGCCATCGCTTATATCCCCTCTAAGTGTGATTTCTTTCCACATTGGTATATCACCCTATCAAACAAAAATATTTTTTAATCATGAGTATTTAGTAATGATCTTACTTGTATCATCATTCAATACAACAAGACTCAATCAAGATTTTGTCACTTACTCCGTACTTAACCAAGTCAATCCCCACATGAACTAAACTTTGATACCTTGTTAGATCTTTTAAAGGAGATTCACCCGGAATAGACAATACCAATTAGATATGAATCCGACCCACATAAGAGATTAATACCACCTTCAATCCAAAACCTTAAGCCATTAGGTTATGAGTTTTTCTTTCTTATATGTTGTCCAACCTTTTCATTTCTATCCAATATATGACTTCAAACTCACACTTGAATTCTCAACTCTAAGTATTTTAATAAACACTCTTAGAGTTTCACCACTTCTTGAATCTTCGTATTATAGTCATTTCAAAAAGCTCTCATTCTTTTGATTTGTATTTCTACTTTGGAAGGTTCATGTATTAAGTGTTTCAATGAATTGTACTTTTGAAGTTTCCATAACTTATCAGATCTCCTTGTTCTAGCCATATACAAAATTAGTAATGGTGGCTTTTGTGTCTCTTTCACCTCAACCTTGATCAAAGTAATCATCGTTTCCTTGAAATAAAAGTGGACTTGATCTTACTATAATCCACCTTTTTATCATTCTTATAAGAAAAAGGACAAGAAGGTTTGAAATCATATATATATATATATATATATATATATATATATATATATATATATATTCACATTATTTTTCTTAGTCGTCTTGTACATTTCTCTTATGTGTTCCTCATCTTTTGATTTGCACGTCTATTTTCAAAGCTTGATGTAGTAAGTGTTTTAATGAATTGTGCTAGAGTTTCACCACTTCTTGAATCTCCCTACTCTAATCATTTAGCAATCTTGTTTTCGTGATTCTTTTACCTTGACCTTAATGAACATGATCTTCATTTTTTTTTTGCAATAATCATCAACATTCCATCCTAATCCTTTGAAAAGTTTTTGAACTTTAAAGAAAATTTCTTTTTGTAGTGTTTAGGACAAAGAATACTAAAAAAATGATTTTTTTATCCTCATTTAATAAAAAGAATTTCATTTTATCAATTTACACCGATTTACAAAGTATCATAACCTATTTTAAATTATAAATGATTGACGAAATCGTTTCTGAAAAGAATATCCAAATATCAAATACAACCTCTATAAAACTTCTGCAAAGTAAAAGAAGTTCTTGGAAAAATCAAAGAAAAAATATCTTCTTCTATAAAAAATTCTTTCAATAATTTTTCTGAACTTAATTTTTGCAAAAAAGTG